GGAACGATCAAAGGCTATGGGATGATATCTAACGGAGATTTATCAATATGAAAGGTGGCTTATGTGGAAGGACTTCAACACAACCTGATTAGTGTCTCTCAATTGGTTGTGGGAACTGGCTTGAACGTAAGTTTTGATGAAGAAGGTTCTGAAATTATAGAGAAGGAAACGAAAGCTATTCTTTTGAAATCTCCTAGGAAAGGCTAAATGTATCCTCTAAATTTGAACCCTATAAGAGGAAAACCTATTGTCTTCCTGCTAACGAAATCTCACTCTGATGATAGTTGGCTATGGCACAGAAGACTTTCGCACCTCAACTTTAAAGACATCAACAAGCTCGTTCTTGGTGATCATGTGCGAGGAATTCCTCTCTTAAAGTTCGATAAGGATCATTTATGTGCCGCATGCGAAATAGGGAAACAAAGTTGAAAAAGTCATCCAACTCTTGTAAATACGAAAATCATCGAACCTCTTGAACTTCTACACATAGATCTTTGTGGGCCTTCTACAATCGAAAGTGTCGGTTGTAGTAAGTATATTCTTGTAATTGTTGATGATTTTTCACGTTTCACTTGGGTGTTCTTTCTTAAACATAAATCTGATGCAACTCCCAAGCTCAAGAACTTTATAAAGCAAGTGGAGATTCAACTGCGAAAGCTGGTTTGTAATGTTAGAAGCAACAATGGGCTGGAATTCAAAAACAAAGAGTTTGAAGAATTTCTAGTTGAAAAGGGAGTAACACACAACTTCTCTGATCCCTATACTCCACAACAGAATGATGTAGTTGAAAGGCGAAACCGTTCCTTGTGTGAAGCTGCACGAACCATGCTCAGTTTCGCTTGTCTGCCTCTGTATTTCTGGGCCGATGCCATTGCGACTGCTTGTTATACCCAGAATAGATCTTTCCTAAATAAGCGATTCTCTCTTACTCCATATGAAATCCTTAATAATCGTAAACCTAATGTCAGGTTTTTCCATGTCTTTGGTTCCAGATGTTTCATCTTTAATTCCAAAGAAAATCGAAACAAATTTGATGTGAAAGCTGATGAAGGTATCTTTTTGGGGTATTCGCTGACCTCCAAGGCATATAGGGTTCTAAATAAACGCTCAAAGAAAATAGAAGAAACCTACTATGTCACGTTTGACGACAATTACATGAAGAAAATTCAATCAAGCGAAGGTCAACTGGAGGAAATTTTTCCTAAGTCAGGTCAAGTTACTGTTCCACTCTCCAATCTGTATGAAGAATACTTGCTACTTTTTGATGAGCCAGAGAAATCCATCACCTCTGAAGCAAAGGTTGCTGACAACAAAGTAGACAAACTGAAAAAGATAATTGAAGATGCTTCAAAAGAAATGGAAAGCGAACCTCAAAGTCCACACAAACCTCCACAAGATAACACACCATTGCAGGGGGAGAGTTCGTCTTCATTCTCCAAACCTGATTCGCCTTTCCAGGGGGAGAACCCATCTCCAACCATGACCCACGAACGTCCACTAGAGGGGGAGAATTCTGAACCTGATGGTGAATTCATTTCATCACTCGAGGGGGAGAATCACAATACGAATGATGATTCGGATGTTCAATCAGAATTCGAAGAGGTAAATGTTGAACTGGATCCTACCTACGATCCAAACTACCCTCCATTGACAAAATGGACTAGAGATCATCCGAAAGCACAAGTTATTGGTGAATCATCTACAGGAGTTCTTACACGCTCTCAACTAAAAGCTAAGCAAACCGCTTTATTCTCTCAAGTGGAATACTGTATGTTTAATTCGTTTGTCTCCAAGATCGAACCAAAAACCGTTAAAACTGTACCTTATCATTCTGATTGGGTACAGGCTATGCAAGATGAACTTAATGAGTTCGAACGAAACAAGGTTTGGAGATTGATTCCCACACCACCGGATGCATCTGTAGTTGGACTGAAATGGGTATTTCGCAATAAGATGGATAAAGAAGGAAATGTAATAAGGAACAAGGCGAGACTTATGGTGAAAGGATACTGCCAGGAAGAGGGGATTAACTATGAAGAGACTTTTGCTCCAGTAGCAAGGTTAGAATCCGTTCGAATCTTTCTAGCATACGCATCATACAAAAACTTTGAGGTATTTCAGATGGACGTCAAGTGTGATTTCCTGAACGGAGAGTTACAAGAAACCGTATATGTTGAGCAACCATCAGGTTTGTGAACGAAAAGTATCCCAATCATTGCTATATTTTAGACAAGGCAGTTTATGGTTTAAAGCAAGCGCCAAGGGCCTGGTATGAAACTCTAACTCTCTTTCTTAAAATGTCCAAATTTAAACAAGGTTCGGTTGACCCAACCTTCTTTCGCAAGAAAGAGGGTGACAACTTAATGACGTCCAAATTTATGTCGATGATATCATCTTCGGCTCTACGAATCCTAGCTTAATATCTGAATTCAGAAAGTTGATGGAGACTAAGTTTGAGATGAGTTCCATGGGTCCAATTAACTTTTTCCTTGGACTAAATATAAGACAGGGACCAGAAGGCATTTTCATAAATCAGGAAGCTTACACAAAGACATTACTGACCAAGTTTTGAATGATGGGAGACTCAAGAGTGAAGGTTCCAATGGCACTCGAAACGAAACTAACACCAACCGGCTGCTGATATGACTCTCTATCGTCAAATGATAGGCTCTTTGATGTATCTAACAGCTAGTCGACCATACATTATGTTTTATGTTTGTTATTGTGCCAGGTTTCAAGCAAATCCACGCGAACCTCACATGGTGGCTGTGAAAGGTGAAAGATGCTCAGATTCTTTACTTGGAAAATGAAGCGTTAGTACAAAATATGAAGTGGCGGAGGATTGGATAAGATTTCAAATCTTAAGGCGCATGAATTTGAAACGGTTCTTATCATCACGCCACCTGACACCTTTTTCGGAGCAACAATTGTCAAATCGTGCTTTTTCAGGCATCTTTTCAGAGACAATCATGCAATCGTCACACAACTCTTTCTCTCTCCTGGTAAATCGTATAAAGGGCATGCACACGTCCCTTATTTTTTCTTTACCACTCTCAAAATTCTCAAGAACACTAAAGGAGATTTTTCTTACGATTCATCTTCTTCTTCTCAAACCTGCAACAATGGCCGATTCATCATCTATTCAAGAAAACTCTGCTCAGTCAACTCTCCTTACCATCAAGCCCAACCAGAACCTGATTCTCGACTTGGCTCCATACAAATATGACCCGTACCTGCTTCCTATTTTCGAGTGCTTGAAGTACTCACCTCTGGTTATTGACTTAACCAAGGTTGAATGTGTTCCAATGTCACTGTTATCGAAGGATTTTTCATCTACTAAGTATGTCACGGAGGAAGAAAAGATCCTCTTTGAAGTTCTCGATAAGAAACACTCAGTCTCAAAGTCTAGGTTTTGCTCTCTTCTAGGGCTCAACTGTGATGATTCAATGGTGAATCTGGAGTCCATTACTACTGCCCAGATCTTCGAAATGTTCTATCAAATGGGATATACTGAGCTTCTCACTACTATCACCAAGTTCAAGAAGTCCTTTCTTCCACCCCAATGGAATGGTCTATTTACTCTTCTCATCAAGGCTTTCTCTGAGAGAGGAACTGGATCCGATTGTGCTAGCAAGTCGTTCATGACAATCCTCTATGGCCTCTACCATGGAATTAACCTCGATTATGGGTCCGTTCTTTGGACTCAGTTGGTACAGAGTATGAATTCTTCATCCCGACACAACGAGATCTCTTGCGCATGTTTCTAGACGATTGTGGTACAACGAGCAATGGAGAAGATCAATGTTAGGGTAATGGCAGACTCGTTAATGTCGTCAATTGCTACCTTCCACACTACGAAGATTATTTTTGCTGATAATTCGAAGTTCTTATTTGTGGGGTCTATTCCGGAGACTATGTACATGTGTGTTTCTGGGGCTAGCAAGATTCTCGCTGAATACAAGAAGAATCATGTTTCGGGTCCTAGTGAAATTACTGTTGAGATGCAACGCTCCATCGATGAAGCTGATAAACCCAAAAAGGGAGGAAAGAAAGGAACGAAGAAGAAAGGGGTTCAAGAAGGTCAATCTTCTCAAGCTCAAACTCCTAAGAAGCGAAAAACTCAAGATGCAGCCCCTCCAGCTCCAAAGAAACGAAATCTCAGAAAGATGATCCTGCAGCCCAGCTCATCTTCATCAAGCGATCCTGAGTACGTTCCTTCAGATCCAGCTAAAGAAGACTCAAGCGACAGCGAAAGTTCTCAATCTCGTGGTTCGCTTCATGGTGATTCGTCTCCACCTTCCCCACATCAAGAGGTACCTTTAAACGACTCTGTTCCAACTCCACCTCCTTCTCCTACTCACACTACTATTCCAATTACCATCGCTCCTTTACCACCACCAATTTCATCACAACCACTACCTGTTATTTCTCAAATAACCACATCTACTACTCAGTCGCCACCTATCTACACTGAAACCACTACCACCACCACCACAGGAGAACCTCTCGTCAATGTCAACATATCTAATGCGGGGGAAAAGACTTCAGGTGTAGTCACTACCTCTATCCCACCTTCAGTTTCTGTCAACGTATCTGAAACGGGGGCTCAAACTTCAGGTTTCTCCACTCATGTTTCACCTCACATTTCCCCACTTAACCGTAATGACCCAGAAATGGTCTTCTGTGATAATGAAGACGAAGTTCTTGGTGGTTTTACTTATAGTCCCTTCCAAATTCGGACTGAGAGTGAAGATGAGGCGCAAATCACAAAAGGGCAACTGCAGTCCCTCCATGAAACGATTGACCAACTAATTCTCTCTGCCAAAGCAACCTCTTCTGATGCTTATGCCAAAGCAGCTGTTGAATCTCTTTTTGAGCAAATCTTGAAGCAGCACTCTGCTACTGTTGAATCTTCTAATAAAGTCGTTGCTGATTCAGCTGAAGTTTGCAAGTCTACGACCGAAAAATTCGATAAACTAATTAGTGATTCTAATTCCTTCATGGAGAACTTCCACACTACTTTCAATACCAACACCACTTCAGCAAACGAAGCATTGAAGAGTCTGGGTTCTCTCTTCAAGACTGAGAAAACGAAACTCCAAGAGATTCGTATTGGTCTTAAGACTGACAATGAATCCTTCCAAGCTGCTATCTCATCTCAACTCTCTCAACTTAAAGACGAACTGGTGAAGGAGAGTACTCTGAAAGACTCTCTCGCTCTCAAGTCAGAAGAAGCCAAGGTCTTAAGTACCAAAAGCAGGTCCATGATCTGTTATCTGAGAGGGCAGTCACGCGCAGTTGTATAACTGATCTTACTAGCATGCTCTCGGATTTCATTGAGACCAGGGATTCAATGATCACCATCACCATGCGTAAGCATCTGGCTGAAAAGTTAAAGCCAGTCTTTGCCATGCTTCATCGCCTTGAAGGTGTTTCTGATCAATCCTTTCATCCGAAACAAGGGGGAGAAAGTGTGGCTGGTGTATCAAGAAAAGAAGGTCCTACTGCTCCTGCCAAGCCTATTGTCAAAAACAAAGTTAAAGGAAAGGAAAAGTTGTTTCATGATGACCCAATTATTGAGAATCAAGACGAAGAAGATCTTTCTGAAGGCAAAATAAAAAGGAGAAAAGTTCGTGAAGCTGAACTGGATGAGCACCAGCGAATCATCTATGAAGCAGAAGAGAAAGAAAGAGCTGAAAAAGAAGCACATGCTACTCTTTATAGCAAAAAGCTCTTGTTCCCAAAATGGACTCTGAAGCGAATCCAGCGCGATGTTGTTGATCTTCCTAGCCAGTATTGGTTAGAACCAGTAGTTTTGTTTGATCATCAAAACACACGAGACTCACAGTTGGATCTGCCAATTACTCAAAAAGCCTCCAAATCTCATTCGTTTGTTAAAGTGGCCAATGCTCCATTCACAGACAGTAGTGCTGATCATATGCTATTTTCATTTTATCTTAAGCATATGAAGCCTCAATACTGTCACACCCCCGAACCAGACGGTAGAAGCGTCTGGGGGCTTGAGCGTGACTCCATTGTTGTTGTATCATCACAGAGTATATAATTGAAACATAACATCATCATCACCACACATGTAATATAACAACGTTCATTGTTTACATCGAGTATTGTATTTGAATATTACATGCCAAAATAGTCAGAGTATGATGAAACAAAATATAACAAAATATCCATTAGTTTGTTCCGCTCAACCTACTTCAACGGTTTCCTGAGAATACAAGTTAATATAAAAATGTTAACATAAAAATGTTGGTGAGTTCATAAGCATGTTTGTGAAAATGATTTGTACAACTTTGAAACCACCAGAAAATCCTATATATTCTCAAAACAGTTTAGGATGTTTGTGTCAGATCTTGTATTAATGCATGTGTATTATTGTTTATTAGAATGTATAAAGATCATGCAGGAAAGGTAAAGAGGATGTAAAGAGAATGCCCCCAAACAACCCTATGTTGTCTGAAAAAGAGAATGCTGACATACCAACCCCCGAGGTTGAGTACCAATACGAGTATGTTTCTGAATAATCCAAAGAAGAAAAGAAAAGAATGGTCTCCCATAAATTTATAACGTTAATTCCTCTAAGTGAGCCGTCATAGCCATACTAATTAATGACAAATTCGCCTGTCCTGGCATTTGTGAACGCCGACGGAAAAATAGAATAAGGTTATCGTCACCCTAGACTGATGTAGTCTAACTGTAGCGAACAGCTCAGGTGTGGGGTGTCATCCCCGTATAGATCTATACACAAAACCCCGCTCTCCCTCCAAGAGACTCTGGTCATAACTACAAGCTACGATCATACACTCAATTGGTGTCAACCGACACGTCTCACTAGATCGTTAATCGAATTTACAAGAAGAAAAACATATAAAACTCATTCCAGGCTCAATGAACCATGTAACTGAACCAATAAGGCATCGCTAAACATGTAAGTCATTTCAAGGCCCAATAGGAATGAGATTATATAACATGGGCCCGAAATATATATGTAAAAGGACAACTAAGACCCATTTCACATGTAAGGTATTTACAGGCCCAAATAGCACGCAAATATTTCCAAGGTCTGTTGCGCATGTTAATGGGTCAATGAGTCCCAATAAACATATAAATAGTATTCAGGACCTATCAAACATATTAATGGGTCACTAAGACCCAATAAACATGAAAATGACCTAATTAGCCCGTTTGTTATTATATTGTTAGTTTTAGCTCAATTATTTAATAAAATGATATAAAAGGCCCACTTTTTGTAAAAATGACATTCTTGGCCCATTAAGCAAAAAATTTACACTTAAGGCCCAATATTAGTATAAATAACATTTTCGGGCCTTTTAAAGGCCAAGTCTTGCATCCAACACAAGTTTAAACACTTTTAGTAAGTTAAAAACAATTTTTCTGGTTTTTGACTTTTCTGACCCGGTTGTTGGAAAATTTGTAGAAAAATCATCGTAAGTCAGAATTTGGATCCGTAAACTCTGGAAGTTTGGAAATTTTGTCTACTTTGTTCAAAAATTTTTATGGCCTCAAACCAGTGTGAAATTGCTCACCTTCACAGACTGGTCCGAGATTATTTCAAATATGATAGGCAGTTTTGTAAAATTCGCCAAAAATTGTAGAAAAATCGTATGAACACGTGAGAGTAGTCATTTTAAAGGTATAAACCTGAAATTTTTGCATGTAAAACAGTTTTGAAACATATTTCCATTAAGGTGGTCAAAACAGTCCAAGATTAGACCAAAACGTTTATGTGAAAGGCTGATTTTTGAGTTTAAGTTATCCATGTTTGAACACAACACTTATTTTCGCTATTTTAAGTGTATAAATCCCATATATACAAGTTTACATGTAATATATGTGATAACACACACTTTTCTCAAGGTTTTTATGAAGATCCAAGTGCTAAACTTCAAGTTCAAGTAAAACTCAAAAAGTAAAACACATATCACAACATTTATCATGAAAACACACCAAAATCATGCATACACACATAGATCTACACAACACAACTTGTATTCTCCCCCAAAACATTATGAAAATAAAAAAGAAGGGGTATGAACTCACATTGCTTTGGTGTTTTCGGTTCTTGGTGATAGATTGAGTAGATCCCGGCCCTAGGAAGCTTCTTGAGGAGGATTTTCGGAATTAGATGGTTCTAAGAAGCATGATTCACGAAAACATGGGTGTAAGAGGAGTGAATGAGTTTAAAGATGAAGTATAACACTTGGGTTTGTAAGATCTTACCACAATGGATGAGTTCTTGATGAAGTTATCTTGAAACACCCACACTAACTCACAAAATTTTGAAGAGGAAATGAGAGTTCTTGATGAAGTTATCTTGAAACACCCACACTAACTCACAAAATTTTGAAGAGGAAATGAGAGTTCTTGAGAGAATATTTGAGAGAGTTTGAAAGTGGAAGTGTGTGTGTGTGGGTGTTCTTTGGCCGAGAGAGATAAGAGGGAAGAGAGAGGGGTTAGTTTGGTTATTACATGTAGGTTTAATCCTAGATATATGGAGGATATTGTATGGATTACCACTAAGTAATAATTAGGTGTCACCTCTTTTCTCCATGCAAATGCTTTTCTTTTTTTTTTTTTTTTTAATTTGGGACGAGAATGGGCTAGGAGGAAAGGAGGTGAGATAGTTTGGGCCATTCCTAGACTTAGCTCGAAATCATGAGGCCCAAAATGAATAGTTTTCGGTCCATTGGGCCTTTATGGAAGTTCACGGCCCCATGAAACCCAAGGGAGTAGTTTACGGCCCAATAGGGATAATGAAATCATTTATGGCCAAACTTGGCCCATTAGGAGTAGGATGGATTATTCTAGGCCCAAATGACCCAAAATACCCTAATCACATGGATGTGGGTCCACTTAGAGCCCAAATAGGGTTTCTTGGCCCAAAATAGTCACATTGAAAGTTTATTGGTCCATTAGGCCCAATAAGAGCATCCTACTCCATAAATACTTGAACCGGGATTTCTAGATTTTTCAATCCATATGAGATGTATTGTATTAGGTTTTGCACTTAAATCAAGAGTTTGGATTCCAACGAATGGTTTTGATTAAGCATAGAGTATGATTTTTCACTTTAGAGTACTTGCCTCACAATAGATGATGTTTACATGAGAATAGAATTTCCTAGCTAAAAATATGCTAGTTGTGACATCATCCCCCCGTTAGAGGGAATTTCGTCCCGAAATTATTTCGAAAGGTAGGATCATGAATGTCACAACTAGCCTTTTTGGCTAGGAAATTCCGTCCGCAAGTAAGCAAGTACTATTGTGAGACTTGTGCTAACACTTCTAAGTGTACAATTTGAGTTCCTAATGACCCATGAAGTGTTAGAATGAAAACTCTCCAAGTATGTGAAATCTCTCCTAATTCTCTCCAAGTATGTGAAACCTCTCCTAATTCTCTCCAAGTATGTGAAACCTCTCCCAATTCTCTCCAAGTATGTGAAATCTCTCCCAAATCTCTCCAAGAATAGTGAATCTCTCCCAAATCTCTCCAAGACTGCGAAATCTCTCCAAGAATAGTGAATCTCTCCCAAATCTCTCTAAGTATGCGAAATCTCTCCGAGAATAGTGAATCTCTCCCAAATCTCTCTAAGTATGCTAAATCTCTCCAATAATAGTGAATCTCTCCCAAATCTCTCCCATATGCGAAATCTCTCCAATTATGTGAAATCTCTCCCAAATCTCTCCAAGTATGTGAAATCTCTCCCAAATCTCTCCACGGATCTCAAATCTCTCTTAAATCTCCCTAAATACCTTCCTTAGTCGAAAACAGCTCGAAACCGGAAGAGGAAACCCCAAAAGGACCCTTTTGGTCCGGAACCTCTTGGTCCGGAACCCTCTTGGTCCGGACTCCTCTTGGTCCTGAACCTCTTGTCCGGAACCCTCTTGGTCCGGAACCCTCCTGGTCCGGAACCTCTTAGTCCGGAAGGTCTTCTAAGGAAGCCAAGAGGAAGCTCATCTCGGAAGCCTCTCATCCGGATAGGTTCGCAGCTCCGGAAGTCTTACCCCACTTCGGTTCGGAAGTACCTCGGTCCGGACCACTGATCGCTTCTGACTTCGGAATCCGAGAACAGCCCTCCGGAAAGCACTGTTCACTTCGCAACTTGTTCAGCACCTTCGGAACCTACCCACCAGCTTCGGAAATTGACTCCAGATTTTTCTAAGAGGCTCCGGAATTTAAGGTATAGCTCCGGAATTTAAGATATAGCTCCGGAATTTAACTTAGAGCTTCGGAAATTACCATTTAGCTCCAGAATTCACTATTT